TCTTTTTTTTTCTCATTTCGTTGAATTAATATTGTCATAATTTGACACGTATAAATGTACAGTCTGTTGTCCAGTAGCCTCGTCTTTTTATGGTGATAATAATATTAGCATTTTATATGGCATCGTCAAAAAGGCGATGTTAAGGGACAAATCAGAGCTGAGTTATAAGACACCAAATTTAATTTGATGCACCACATGCGCATTTCGAAAATTCATTTCTCTTTAGTGATGAAAAAAAAACATTTATGGAAAATTTACCAATATCAAAAATAGAACCGTAATAAACACAAAAAACAAAATAAAACAATAGAACGTCAAGGCAAGCTGTGCTTCGGTGGGAAACCTTGGAAAGTTGACAAATTTCGATAAACGATATTTTGTCACAATTTTGAAATCAATCCAAGGATATGTGTCATCAGACCTGTTGCTATTTGTTATAAGGAACAGCTGTGGGGAAAATAACAAAAAACTGTAATTCATACTATATCATGTGGTTGCAACTGTTTGAATGACATAATATTATGTCAGTATCTTAAAAAAAAAACCACTCAACTTTTATAATATCTAAAAAGTGTAATTTATGAGAGGAATATGGCAATTAATTTAATGGATTACGTGATTGCACAAAAAGCATTATTAGAAAGACCAGACGTGTATTGTTAGTGACAGTTAAAACGAAAATGAGAATCTTTAAAAAATATAGAAGTGAAGTTTCAGATCCTCCCCAACCCTGCCTTAAAAAGACTAGTAAGCAATGTATTCACTAATATACTTGCATATGGAAACAAGAAAAGGTAAAAGTAATTCTAATCCATTATAAAATATTAAAGCTGTCCATGGAACCATAGTTAGATCCTAGTATTTAATTGAATATCAAGAGAACGTTTAGTTTATTAGTTTAATTTCCTTGATAGACCTACATCATCTGCTTTATATACAGACTAGAAATTATTTGTTCGGTCTCAAGATAGAAAATGACAACACTTTATAAATTGCATGCGTCAAAAATTATCTGATGAAGGTTATTCCAGAATATAATGTGTTGTGTATCCTTAAATATGTATAACTCTTTTATCAAACATCTTTCATTGTTCATTCCGACAGTGGCATCAATCGTGTGAAATATATTTACATTTGTTTTGCTGACGTCCAATGAAAAACATGTAGTTTAAGCATGTCCTAAACGAGAACAGATTTTCAACAAGACCAGTATGAAGGGACTTTCGACGGCCACTGGAAAATTGGGGCATGTTGAATAGGAGCAGACATTTTCCTTGCAACAGGCTACCACCGAACTTCTGTAAGTGTTGTTGTCAGGATAATGTAACGTGTAGAGAGTGGGGCAATATCTCTACAAAAGACCTCTAATTTAACGTCCCTATTTCGGTAGAATGTGGCTACGTATTTATACATCCCTCACAACCAAACGCGGGCGTCCCTCAATAGCATGGGTTTTACTGTCGGGTGGGAGAGTGCATTTCATCAAAATACAATTTGTATCAAGTTAATTCTGCATTACAACATACAGTAATAAAAAGACCTGCTTTTCTGCTATTGTTCGTTAGTCTGTTTGTAATGAATAAACTCATCGGACATAAATCCTATTGTCTCGTGGTGATATTACGCTTTACATTGTTTAAAGAGTCTTCACAACTCAGAAATCCTACATTCTCGATAAAGCATTTTTGTGTTTTTAAATCAAAAGTCCTGGGTCATTTTTAAGCATGAATCATTGATAGGTTGTGCTTTTACGCCGGTATCCCAGGATAGAGAAGGGTTGAACGCTCATGTTAAACCCCGCCACTTTCTGTATGTGCTGGTCCTAAGTCTGGGGCCTCTAATTCAGTGGCTGTCGTTTGTTGCTGCAATGGTATATTACATTTGTTTTTCGTTTTTTGTTTTGTCATAGTTCAGGCCGTCGCATGGTTTTCTCGTTTGATTCATTTACAGTTTGTCATGCCAGGGCCGTTAATAGCTGACTTAACCGCATTTGAAATGCTCATTGTTGAAGGCCGAACGGTCACCTATAGCTGCTTACATGCACATCATTTGAAACCAGTTGTCTAATTTGCAATCATACCACATTTATTTATTTTTCTGTAATCTATAATTTTACGCTGTTTTAATTTAATTTACACTTTAGTAAAGTAGCAATAAATTACTACTCCTAAAACCAATATGTTCCGTAATAATACTCATGTTTTCTATCAAAGGAAATATTGTATAATTTATGATCGGGAGACGATAGAAGTACACTCGTAGTTTATTGAAGAATGTATAACAACCAATACAAAAAAAAAAAGACCGGAGGAGTCTCGACCTGACTTTGTTAAAACGAAAACGAATACTAGCGTCAATGAGGTATATAAGACTGACGTAAATTAAACCATAGAATTACTTCCAAGCCAAGTTTCGTTCAAATATATGCATATACAAACATAAAATTAGATCTCAGGCACGTCCGGTCAAATATGGGAACTAAACCCAAAGGATTTGATTGGAGAAAGTCAGATCATCTGCTCGTTAAACTACTGAATCAATTATTGATAAGAGGGAATGTTACATTGCGTTGTTGAAAGTATATACATCTATACGCAGAATGTAAAAAGGTGTTAAAACATAAAATTTCTTGACTAATCTAATAATTTGAACTTTAATCCAGGCTACTTATAATTAGAATCATCAACTTAAGTTTGTAGTTCTGCTATCTGGACCATGTGTTGTTCGTCGTTGATGTGGTCTCTTCTACTCAAAAGTTCTTTTTTTAGTTTAAGTTATCAAAATGTTTAGCTTATAAAAATGAATCATAGTCATTTCGTACCATAACAAAAATAATTTCGTACCATATGGAAGATAATGTATACCATTCCGTACCATATGGAAGATTATAATGTTTACCATTTCGTACCATATGGGATATTATAATGTATACTATTTCATATAATAAATAATAATTACGTCACTAGACAATATATAAAAACGCTAGATATATATAAAACATAAAACGTTTATTAAAACGAACTGAGTCAGTATAAGGGAAATTGCCTATCAAAACAAAATTCTCATAAAATAAATTTCATACTAATGTTCCCATGTAATTTCTAATATTTAAAACTGAATATTTTTCATGTACCAAGTATGATATGATAAAGTTCAATTTTCATATGGTACGAAATGGTAAAGCATTTTTTCCATATGGTACGAAATGGTAATTTTTTTCCCCATATGGTACGAAATGGTTTCTTATGGTACGAAATGGTTTATGTTCATGGTACGAAATGGTCATTTTGGGTACGAATTGACAATGGTACGAAATCATGCGGGTACGAAATGACTGGATACCATGAAAATAAACTACGCCCTCTTTAATGTAGTTACCGTAAGGAATATTCTGGCAAAGTTTGATCCAAATCAGCTAAGCATTTTCAAGTGACGAAAGCTTATTTATGACCACTACAGCTGCCTCCAGATGATAGCAAAATCTCGCATGATCGATGGACCAAAGGTGAGCTTTTGGTTTGACTGACCATTAGGACTTGACACTACCTAATTGTAGCCAATTTTATCGTCGGGTCATAGGTAATAAAGATACGATACGGAAATGGACATGTGTTAAAAATGTACTCGCTATTATCCTAATAATTTCTGATAATATCAATAAAATGTCATTCAAACTAGTTTTACAGTGATGCCAGTGTATCAAACTTGTATTCTGTCACTTCAAACTTGTTATAATCGCATTCATTTTATCACAGAATGGTACAGAATGCAAACAGGGTAATAAAAAAATGGCGCCGATTGCCTTCCCAAATTCAAAAACATTATAAAACACTTCACATCAAATAATCACACTTATTTTGGTCATTTTATATGACAAAATGTATCTACTTTATGATAAAACTTGTATTTATTTCGATTAGAATTATGTGGTTAATTTATTGAGCAGTTCTGATAGTTTTTCAGTCAGACGCCACCAAAATCCACAAATCTCGCGAAATCTCGTGGAGTCCGAGATTTTATCAATTTTATATTGAAAAGCCTATCAGATTCATTTCCCGTTAGATATACTATTCCCAGATTATATCCATCATCCAAATTCATCTCAATAATTCTGCTGCCCCTCCTCTTGGAATTTTAATTTGTGTGTACTTTTGAGTTCTTTTATGATATTCCATCAGTCCATAGACTATGTTGGAGGATTGTCTTCGTCGATTTCTAGTATTGTTCTTTAGCTGTCTATTGTTGAAGACTGTATGTTTCCCTCTAGTTGTCTTTTAGTTAATTTTGTCGTTGGGTTGTTGTCTCATTGGCGTATACATATCTTTTAATCAAAAAATTAAAACCCTTCGGCTGGTATTTTTAATTCATTTCCCGAACTTCAACATATAATTTCGAGTATATAAAAAACTATTTCCATAAACTTTCAGAATACATTAAGAGTAAGTTCTAAGTTCCATAAAACACACTCAGTCTGGTGTTTGTCACTGTCAACCTGAAGCCATGCCTCCTAGGCCAGAAAGGGTAGCTATACAGTATAGAGGCTCTTACACAAATGTAAGAGCATGAATCACTCCCAAGGATTTTCTTATTAAAAGCTTATTACATTTGTCATGTTTATTTGACAAGTTGACTTATTTAAGTGACAAGTAGTGGCAGACATGTTCCACCATACATTTATATTCATTAACTGGTCTTGAAATAATGGGTTTTACAAAGTATTGAGTCTCTTTTTGTAATTTGACTCAAACTAGTTCGCGGCGTACCTTAAGGCTATCGAGAAAAAAATGGCAATTAAGATGACTTCAAAACAACCATCTTCTTGTTTCTAATTGAGAAACTAACACCGTAGCTGATTTACTAAAACGTTGTCATTGAAAGGTATAATGGACCATGTCAATGTTTTTATTTTTTATAAAACTTCCCATTTCAGGACATTTTGAATGTGGCAGCGAAAACATTTTGGCAAATTGTTGGGAACACGGAAAGATATAACACAGAAAGACAGACATAACAACTTTAATACTTGATAGTTTGCCGATAAACAACAATCATATAGCATTAATATTTAGTGTTTAAACACATTTGTTTCGTATAATAGGGTATTTTATTATAATATCACTTATTTATATTGTTTCAACAAAAAAATTACAACCATATAATCAAATTAAAATAATATTATGCGTAGTAAAAATGGTAAAAAATAAAAACCTCCATGACAATAGAAAAGGAGGAATACATTTTTCAATACCTTAAAAACTCCAATGTCGAGTAAAATGTAAATTGTAAAAATTGTATAATAAAAATTATTTAACAATAAAATCAAATATAAATGAGACATTTCAAATAATGCTGATTCTTTATAAACAAACAAACATTTATGTTAACATTAAAAATAAACAAAGCAGAGCACTTTAATCCGACAAATTTCAAGCACTAAAATGAGTAAAATTCAAACAGGATGAAATAGCACTTTCACATGTAAAATGGCACTTAATAAAATTCCACATTAGGTATAATACCTAATAATACCTTAACATGTACAAACTGTTTCCAGTTCTATAACTTAATGACTGTATTCATTTTGTTCATTGTGCCCAAGATGAATACGAAAAGTTAGGGAAACATCAACTCTTCCAAGAAAGATATTTTAAATTAAAAAATGCTGATACTACGTAACAGGTGAATTTCCTAACATATATATTGATTGAATGATTATTGGTGTTTAACACCACTTTCAGCACTATTGGCTATATCTAGGCGGTGAATTTTTATTGGAGTAGGAAGCCGGAGAAAACCACCTACCTTTGGCAGGAAAACTGACAATCGCCAATTATACGATTAGAGTCAAACGCACCTGCCACGTGCTAAAAAATATATAACAATCGAACAGACATCTAGTTATTCAACTGTTGCACTGTATGAAATGCTGTTGATATCATTTATGGAACATTGATAATGCTGTTGAAAAAATGTATAGGCATATGATGCAGTATCTGTATTGTAGTATTGCAAAAGGATTTGTAATTTTATTACTAATTTTCTTCCTTTCATCAAGTCTTTCATTTAAATGATGCTCGGACTATTCTATCACCCAGTGGAACAGGTGGCCTATAGTTGTCTACTATACAGTTACTTCCACATCGGAGATTACGTAGCTCATGTAACTGAAAAGAAAACATTACGTCCATATTACACAATTTGAAAACAAATGTGTTTTTATATAATATATCGTATCAAAATATACTTCATAAAGAGTTACACATCTGAAATGTATGCTAACTAAAGGTTCAACATTATAGAAGGTAGTATGATTTTTCGAATACCTTGTTGATCAAAAGTTTTCGGTTGAAGGAGTCTAAATCCCAAAGAAAAACAAACATTTTTTAAAATATGAGAAGTAATAAGTTTTTCAGAATAATTTGACTGCATTTGTGTGTGGGTTAATTTAAAACATCAAAGTAAATAAGTTAACGTATGCCAAAGCAGAACATGTCAATGCGACGTGAATGAGAAAAGTGTCTCTAAGATTACTTTTATCTCGTCCCTATGATGGACTGCTTACATGGTTTAATTAGTATCACAGAAAGATGAAATTTATAACATTTTGTCTCAAGTTGACCTTATTAAGGTTATTTTTGAAACACGTGTTATGCATACATAAATCAAATCATACCTGCTCATCTGATATTTCGATTGGCTCTTTAAATACAATCCATGTGACACTTTCATACAAAGGTGGCGTTGTCAGTGAACCTAAGTACGTCCAATACTTTGATGTGTCCGCTGTGAAAAAAATCATAAGTTGACTTTCAAATATGGCTTATGGTAGACAAGCTGAATATATTTGTTAATATTCAAATTAGTTTGCTATGAGCAACACGACGGTTCCGAACGTGAAGCAGAATTAACTGATCCTTCTTGAGCATAATCTAAGTTATGGTGGAGTTCGTGTTACTCACTCTTTAGTGTTCTATGTAGTGTTTTGATGACTGTTTTAGTCTTTCGAGTTTTGCCGTGCTATTGGCGCTTTTTCCATATACTTGAATATGGTACAATGTATTTGATTGTCCTTTTGGTAAGTTCTGTCTCTGAAAAATATAAAATATTCAGTGTCCTACATATAACAAGACTTACAATTTAAGAGAGTTTTCATATCCAGATCAGTAGTCAAATGGACTTTCTTGCCTTCATCTCTAACTGCTGCCAATGCAGTATCTGTGAATTCTTTCATGCCGACATGTTTGGCTCCTGGCTAAAAAGTGAATATATAAATGTTCACATTCATTTGAATTTTTATCTTCAGCATTACGGAGACGTTCAAAGTCTTATTCTGCTCTTGTTTTTCGGTCTTCAGTATTACAATTTTATTTAGTGGTTGAAATAATATTTATATGTTGGAATGAAAAAATTGATTTGTTTTATCACTTGAATAAATTCTATATTCATAACAACCAGCGCATATCAACTTCCAACTTGTTTGTTACATTATTTTATTTTTAAAGCGTAGGACAATATTTAAGTTCGATATATATATAAACCTTTTTTCAATGTATTCTTCGTGATACAAACCTTGACAAAGAAGCCAAACACTGCAAGGCCATCTGGTTTATCTACAGCCGCCCCAAAATTAGGATATTTAGTATTGTAATGTACTAAATGCAGCTGAAAGTAAAACAGGAAAATAAAGTTTAATCAGTTATGGCAGTTTCAGTTTGTATAAAAAAAATCCAAAAACAGATAATAATTCGAGCTTTTAACAATCCTTCTCAAGATAAATGTGGAATTACATGTACATTTCAACGTCCTACCAACATAATAAGTTGTTTAGTCGATTCTCTTTTAAAATATAGATTGATTGATTTGTTTTTGGTGTTACACGTCATTTTCAAGGCTCTTTGCTATATCGTAGAGGCCAGTTATTTATTGGTGTAGGAAGCTCGAGTACCAGGAGAGAACCACCGACATTCGGAGTCTTTTATATTATATCTTCTCTATTGAAATGATACATTTGGAAGCTAAGTGCCAGGAGGGAACCACCGACATTCGGAGTCTTTTATATTATATCTTCTCTATTGAAATGATACATTTTGATTGTAAAATTTGACTTCATGAAATATTGTCAAACTTTAAGGTTGATTTAGACGATTTTATCTGTCAATCATGTATTTTTCCTCAAACGTTTTATATATTTGCCTTTTCAAACCGTACCTCTTGATGGTTATTCCGAACGTATTGTGAGTATGCAAATCATATCATTTGTGTTTTTACATTAACAGTAAACACATCAATATGCTGTACGAGTTTTTTTTATTTGGTAAAAAACTTTGACATCGACAAACATTTCAAGTGAATGATAAAATTCTAACAAGAAGAATAACAGTTGAGTTATTTAGAAAATAAACTATCGTTTCCTATTCTGTATGTAGCTATTCTATTTGCTTCTTCTTCTATGGTAGAAAATTGTCTGATTGTCATCATGCCACAACATCTATTTTTTGTATTACCGGTATTCAATATCTCAGTTGTTTCTATGACAATTTTATTTTATCTCGATTTTTTTCTGTTATAATTTTATAACATCTCAGTTGTTCCTCTGAAAATTTGTTATATATCTCAATTGTGTCGCTGAAAACTTTATTACATGTATATCTCGGTTGTTTCTATGAAAATTTTATTATTTCCCTTTCGTATCATTTATACCTCTGAGGCGTACATCTTGTCATTGATTGTATGTTCAGAACCTTTTTTGTCATTTGCTCCCCAATGAAAATGAAACTGTTCCAATTTATACGTCCCCGTTAAAGGTCCTCCTTTTATTTCTGAAAACATACAGACGAAAATTAAATTAAGCGTTTGCATTAAACATGCATGGACGTTATCAAACTAATAATAAACATACATTGAGAAATATATTTGAATAATAAAAGTCAACTAGATTTGTAATTGCTAGCAATAACGGATGGCACCCTTCCCCCATTGCCAGGGTAACGGCAGCCATTTTGAAAATTCCTCAGTCAAAGAGTGCATCTACACTTGCAAATTAACATTTTTTTTAAAGTTTCATAAATTTTGGAGCTTTTTGAAATTTTTGACATTTTTGCAGTTTCCATGGTAACAGCGGACATTTTGAAAATTCCGAAGTCAAACAGTAAATCAGCACATGCCAGTTACCATTCCTGGGAAGTTTCTTCCACTTTGGAACACTTTGATTTTTTTCGCATTTTTGCTGTTTCCATGGTAACTGTGGCCATCTTGACCATTCCAAAGTCAGAGGGACAACTTCGCATGGTGGTCAACATTATACCATAGTTCCATCAACTTTGGTCCATTCTATTCTGAGAACTGCTCCGGACAAAAATAGTGGAAGAAAAATGATAATAAAAAAAAGAAAAAAAAGAAACGTAGAATAACAATATGTCACCCCAACTCCGTTGAGGGTGCCATAGTAGAATAACAATATGTCACCCAACTCCGTTGAGGGTGCCATAATTATAATAATGATCAAATTAGCGATTCTTGCAGTACATTTTAAGCTATGTAACTTTCAATCTCGGCGTTTTTTTGGTTGTGTTTTTTTCTTTCTTGCAATAAATAACTCTTCCTAATAAAATAGTTTCAGATAAAATGTACTTGAATTGTAAGATTTAAATTTTCTTAGAGAAAACGACGTTATTTCTAATATTCTTACCAGATGAGTGGGTTGCTTGCACTTTTACTGACTTTCCCGTATTCATAACTTCAGGCTTAGGTTCTGGGTTATAATTTATAACCAAAGGAGAACTTGCTAGCTTTTGATCAAACGTAACATTCTCGGGTACGATGTTGATTGGCGATTGTCTCTTTCCATTGGCAATTGGAAACTCGTTACCCCAGGTGCATGGACCTACGGAAAATATAAAAAAATGTGAGCGCTTAAAAAGTTATTTATTATAAGGGTACGAAAAAAAAAAAGAAATCGTATAATTCAATTCCAAAAATTTTGATGCAACAGCTTGTTCTTGTGTATAGTGATGTCATCTTCGTTTGTGCTGACGTCATCTATATGCAAAAAAACAACAAAATACACATGCTGGTTATAAAAATATGTGTTTGAAAATGATTGCAAAGATGTTTGTGTCATTTATGTGACTTAATATTAATGACGTGACGAAAATGAAAACTACAGTACATATTTTTACGACCGTAAATTTTCATTGAGGTTAGACCTATATAAAGAAAACTTTCCTATTTTTGTTTAGTCACCAAAATATTTAATAAAATTTTACAATATACAAATTCAATATAAGCTTATAGAACTTGCTGCCACATTTAATCAAATCTGTCAGACTCATTCAAGACGTTATCTAAAGTCAAGGCTATTTTTGTACTGGAGCTAACCCTAGTTTTTTATCCGAAGGATTATAAAACATCTTTTTTCTCTCATGACGACAACATCCTAGCCACAACAACACGTAGATTTCGGAAGCTATTAAACTATGTAAAGTTTACATTATATAGTTAATCTGAACTCTTCTTGTCTCTCGTATTTCACTGAAGGACAGTAAAATTAAACAAAGTAATTAGGTCGTACAAATCAAACACTTGTAGAGTGGAGGAAATACGTATTTTTGTATGAGTTTGTCTGTTATATTATATGCTACTTGGATACAGTAAAACCTGTCTAGTGTTCGAGGAGCCTATTTCACATTATTTTCAAATATGCGGAGTTTGTTTATTCAAAATATTCATATTAGTAAACAACTTCATCAAACTTCATTTTAGGCATTTTTAGTTTAAAATTATTGTAGTCTATCCATTTCTCGTTGCCACTGTCATCCATTTCTCGTTGCCACTGTCATCCATTTCTCGTTTCCACTGTTATCCATTTCTAGTTTCCACTGTCCTACTTTCTCAGAATATTTTTCCTGGAAATGTTTTGTCTTCGGAGTCTGCAGTTCAGTGGTTGTTGTTGGTTCATGTTTGTCATATTTGTTTTTCGTAAATTGTTTTGTTATAACTTAGGCCGTTAGTTTTCTCAATTGAATTGATTCATATTTCTTGTCGCGGCCTTTTATAGCCGACTATACGGTATGGTTTTTTTCCTCATTAATGAAGGCCATACGATTGTCTATCATTGCTTTCATCCACTTTATTTGAACTTTAAATTGGTGGATAGTTGTCTCATTGGCAATCATACCACATCTCCTTATCTTTATATTAGCTAGTTTTGTTTTTTGTTTTGTTATGGTGTATTCTCTATTATAACATTGTTGTGGAGTTGGATGATAGGTTTTGCGCGAAATTAATGCGCGTTCTTTTAAGTCCCTTTTGTTATTCCACTGATCGCGAATAAAAAACGGGAGGACTGAGATCATGTTCGTGTTCCCGTCTCAAGTATGAAAACTTGTAAGTTGCTGTGATTGTTGGTGTTTTTTTTTTGTCTATTTTGTTTTGTGTGGTATTTTTGGATATTTCACTGAGCACGTAAAATGTCTACTCATTTTTACATGCGTCGAGAAAGGCCAAAGCAGGTCTAGTAACCGCTCGACGCCATCCGACTGTCTGTGTGTCTGTCCAAAAGACCTTAGATAGAACGTTTTCGTCAAACTTTTTTAGGCTTCTATTAAAGGGAATGATTTTATTTTTGGTCTACAGCTTCATAATGTTGAGTTGTAGAGGCTGGACAGTATTTACATCTACCGTGCATCTACTTCCTGTTTTCTGATAGTTTTAAATTTGACAACACTCATTTTACAAGGAAAATTTCTCCTCAAGATTTTCTTGGCTTCAATGAAAGGGAATAATCATTTATGCTTCAATATACATGTAACCTCAATAACTAAATACAGCGACGCAGTTCAAGACTGGTGATGGACTTATTCATAATTCCATGTATGTGTTGTTATAAACGATTCTTAGAACCAAACATTTCAAGGGCACCCTAAAAAAAACTACTAGTACTTACCATTGTCCTTATCGTATCCCCAAGGCATTTTCAAGTCTGAAAATATACAAGGATAATTATTGAATAAAATACTAAATTATTTCGACTCGTTAAATTACTAATGGATTTTGAATACCATGTATAGTGTAATTTTAGTCAATATATATTTATTTTCCATAAATAACGATAAAATGGACGTAGTGTTATAAATTAGGTGTAAAAATAACCCAAAACATGTCATTATCTGTACTTACACCTGCATAAATGAATGGTTAATTGATTGTTGAATATTTTGAATATTTGAAGCCCATTTAGGATGTAAAAAGTAAACAATAAATCTACAATAAGCAGTTACTGCGCAGTGGGTCGACAGAGTTGGACAGCGACTGCAAATATAGTAGAAGTAAACATTTTGCCCTTCAACCACATACGTACTCGAGAATGAGATGAAACGATTATGAAGCGTGAAGAGAGCTTGACACTCAACAATGGGCATATGCTTAAATTACCTTGTCTAACTATACGCGATACTTGTACATCCCACACAACTAATAGTCACAGCCCCCCTTTTTAGCACGAGTCGTACTGCCGTTCGGTAGAAGTGAACTTGATTGTGTTTCACAAATCTTGATACGTCTTGGGTGCACAAACCACAGAAGGAAAAAGATAGGTAGACAAATGATCTTAAAAGTCCGATATTACCATACGCGCGTTTCGTCTAAAAATAACTCGGGGATTTTTTTTTTCAACATAAGCAACTGTAACAATCAATCAATCAATCTAAGACTTGATTACCTAATTGGTGTTTGCTCAACGTTCAGTGAAGTATTCCATTTATGTGTAGGATGAGAAAAAAGGGGGAATATGTGTGTTCTGCTGAATGCAACAAATTAGATGAGGGCCGTGAAAGTTAAAAAAACTTCCCCTGGAAAAATAGAGTATGTTGGATAGAGGGAGTTATTCGTCTTGCAATTGGAAATCTAATGGCCACTCAAAGAGTTGTTGAAAAGATTTATTAGCGTGCAGAAAGCCCGACACTCTCCTTACACGAGGCATTAGGTTTAACGTCATCATCCCAAATAGACGTGGTTGTGTACTTATACATCCCACCCAGCCAATCGGAAAATAAACTGATTATAGATACCAGGATTGAAATTTTGTAAGCCGTTCGCGCGTTTCGTCTAAAAATGACTCTTCAGTGAAGCTTTCTTTGACATTGCCTTTGCTGTCCAACACTGAGGTCCAACAGAGGAAGTAGGTAACAATATTTCTTCAACAAAATTCAACCCTTTTGTGCTGGTCTCCGACTTGACATGTATTTTTTATATGCGACAATGCCTTACAGAATCTTAACAATAGATAATAATACACCATATTGATAGGGAATAATATAACTGTACTAAACTTTAGTGAATTTTGAGTGTAATGCACCGAAATACACTAGCCAGTAAAATCTCTTCTAAAGGTCGTCACTGCAGTAAATTGTACGAATTATGTTGAATTATAACTACAAGTATCATTTCCTGGAATAGTATAACCACTTGCAAATAATGACGCGTCAATTGGACTTCCCATTTAAAAAGTAAATAGTACGTGATTTTCACAATGTCAAGTATATTTTGAAGGTCATAATAAAACAAGAATGTGTCCATAGTACACGGATGCCCCACTCGCACTATGATTTTCTATGTTCAGTGAACCGTGAAATTAGAGGTCAAAACTCTAATTTGGTATTAAAATTAGAAAGATCATAGCATAGGGAATATGTGTATTAAGTTTCAAGTTGATTGGACTTCAACTTCACCAAAAACTACCTTGAACAAAAACTTTGACCTGACACGGGGACAGACGGACGAACGGAGGGACGAACGGACGCACAGACCGAAAAATATAATGCTCCTAGGTAGGGCATACACTAGCCATTAAAATCTCTTCTAAAGGTCGTCACTGCAGTTAATTGTACGAATTTTGTTGAATAACTACAAATATAATTTCCTGGCTTAGTATAGCCACAAGATTGCAAATAATGGCGCGTCAATTGGACTTCCCATTTAAAAAGTAAACAGTACGTGATTTTCACAATGTCAAGTATATTTTGAAGGTCATAATTTTTTTTTACTAAAGTCAAATACTTTATAATGAGATTGATACAATAATGAACATTCATTGTGTATAATGTTTTGAAGTTGTAATGCAGGATACATGAATAGTAAACAATTTAAAATGAATTTTCTACAGTATACAGTGAAATTCAAGCCATTTTCAATCATATTGAAACGAAAAAGAAACACCCTTATGTCGTTGAAAACCTTTTGGGATTTTTCTACTTCTTAACGACGTCTACTCTTGGAAACTTGATTTGGAATCTTTCTTTACTTTCTTCTGAAATTTATTTCATTTTACGTCTATATCTATCTATCTACATCTGAACTTCCTATCTAATATCATTAAGTTCAGTAACTCTAAGTTAATTAAATATGTTAGATATTATAGAGGTGACCGTAGGATACAAGATCATTCAACATAAACTGCTTTCTTTTCTTTTTTTTTCTTTTTTTTTTATCTTAACAACATCTAATAAAATGCTCCGCAGCTTGATACGACCGCAGAGGTCGAACCCTGAACAGTTGGGGCAAGTATGGACACAACATTCAAGCTTGATACAGCTCTGAATTTGGATTGTGATTAAATATTTGACACATCATAGGTTTCTGACACAGAATGAATGTGGTCTAAGAACTTAAAATTTTTAAATTGGACATTCACCTATTATGGTCCAATATCCAAAATCTAAATACATGGTTAGATTCAGCATATCAAAGAACCCCAAGAATTCAATTTTTGATGAAATCAAACAAAGTTTAATTTTGGACCCTTTTGACCTCGATGTGGACAAAGTTGATAACGGGCCCCAAAAATCAAAAATCTAAATACATGGTTAGATTCAGCATATCAAAGAACCCCATATATTCAATTTTTGTTGAAATCAAACAAAGTTTAATTTTGGACCCTGATTTGGACCAACTTAAAAACTGGGCCCATAATCAAAAATCTAAATACATGTTTAGATTCAGCATATCAAAGAACCCTAAGAATTCAATTTTTGTTAAAATCAAACTTAGTTTAATTTTGGACCCTTTGGACCTTAATGTAGACCAATTTGAAAACGGAACCAAAAATTAAGAATCTAAATACACGGTTAGATTCGGCATATCAAAGAACCCCAATAATTCAATTTTTGATGAAATCAAACAAAGTTTAATTTTGGACCCTTTGGACCTCAATGTGGACCAATTTAAAAACGGGGCCCAAAATCCAAAAACTTAATACACGGTTAGATTCAGCATATTAAACAACCCCAAGAATTCAAGAATAAAACCCCATTGAAATTGGTCAAGAAATAAGCAATTTATACGAAGTATCTTCTTTTGCACAATACTGTGCAATTGAATATTTCTTGCTATTGCGCAATACTGCACAATTGACAATTTCTTGCTATTGCGCAATATTGTGCTATTGGATATTTCTTGCTATTGCGCAATACTGTGCAATTGAAGATTTCTTGCTATTGCGCAATACTGTGCAATTGAAGATTTCTTGCTATTGTGCAATACTGTGCAATTGAAAATTTCTTACTATTGCACAATACTTATTATATAATAATTTACACATCCTGTTTGGTGTATATCTCCTACCATATCATTATTATTTGCTTTTAAATATAAATCAGAAATAACCAACTTAAAATGGAAAATTTACAAAAAAAAAAAGGAAAAAAAGAAAAAAAAGGAAAAAAAGAAAAAATCCCCCCCCTCAAATTTTTTGAACCCCCTTATGATTCATCACCCCCAAACTCAATCCCAGCCTTCCCTTTGTGGTATAGTACCTTGCAGTACAATTTCAGAGAGATCCATACACTTGAACACAAGTTATTGTCTGGAAACTAGAAAAATGTGTTTTTGGCCCCTTTTTGGCCCCCAATTCCTAAACGTTTAGGACAATTACCCCCAAACTCAATTCCAGCTTTCCCTTTGTGATATGGAACCTTGTAGTACAATGTCAGAAATATCCAAACACTTACACACAAGTTATTGTCATGAAACTAGAAAAATGCTTGTTTTTTTTCCCTTTTTTGGCCCCTAATTCCTAAAATTTTGAGGCAATTACCCCCAAACTCAATCCCAGCATTTCCTGTGTGATATGGAACCTTGTGGTACAATTTCAGAGAGATCCATACACTTGAACACAAGTTATTGTCTGGAAACTAGAAAAATGCTTATTTTTGGCCCCTTTTTGGACCCTTATTCCTAAACGTTTCGGGCAATTACCCCCAAACTCAATTCCAGCTTTCCCTTTGTGATATGGAACCTTGTAGTACAATTTCAGAAAGATCCATACACTTTCACACAAGTTATTGTCATGAAACTAGAAAAATGCTTATTTTTTGCCCCTTTTTTGGACCCTTATTCCTAATATTTTGAGGCAATTACCCCCAAAATCAATCCCAGCATTTCCTTTGTGATATTGAACCTTGTGGTACAATGTCAGAGAGATCCATACACTAACACACAAGTTATGTCTGGAAGTTACAAAAATGCTTATTTTTGGCCCCTTTTTGGCCCCTAATTCCTTAACTGTTGGTACCATAACCCCCAAAATCAATCCCAACCTTCCTTTTGTGGTATTGAACCTTATGGTAAAATTTCATAGAGATCCATTCACTTAAACTAAAGTTAGAGTGCGAAAACCAGTGTGTCTTCGGACGACGCAGGACGACGCCGGACGACGACGACAACGACGACGACGACGACGACGACGACGCCAACGTCATATCAATATACGACCGCAAAAATTTTTGCGGTCGTATAAAAATCAAAAATACGATTAATTATAACCCTTTTTAAATACGTGACTCTTCTTGACATAATTTGTTTAAAGCTATTAATGATAAAGTTTATTTCAGATATTACATTTATATACAGATAAGTGGGAACGTCAAAACTAATTAGCTCTACAGAAAAGTACTTTTGTAGTTAAATAAGGAAAAGGCGAGGGAC